AGACTTATATTGCAATATTCTGATCAAAAACTGTCCAGGTTATGTGGGATATTTCTGTTGGAGCGATAGTTGTTCATGTAAAAGTGCTTTATTTTTTACATTTCCAAAAAAACCTACTCATTTCAGAAGCACTGCGTATTTAAGAGTTGTATAGGGTTCTTTTAAAGCTATATCAAATCAGTCCCACGTTTTGCTCTCCTCAAAAAAATGGCTTTATAATTTTTTGCTAATTGATTATATTTATTGTTTAATTTCATATTTTTGTTAATTAAGTTGAATAAACCATTCTCTCATTTATTTGTGCAAAAAGTGTAGAGACGTTTGTAAAGGAATACATCAATAGTACCTCGTGTACAGTTTGTATCGGAAGCCTTTGTATGAAGAGTTGAGAAGTGAGCGGGGTTTAGTCGTCGTCACTCTGCTTGTTTAAACCATCTTGTCACCCCACCTTTCAAATCTCTGTTTCCTACTTCATTTGTTCATTTCCTACTTAATAGGAGTTCCATTGAAGTGGGACTAGAGGGTTTTTTTTGGTTTTAGTTGACAGTATTTGGCAGAGTGTTAATCTGTTATTTTTGGTTTTTAGCTGGTAGTGTTGAACATAAATACGTTGTGACGGATGGAGGTGTCGGTCGCAGCAGAGTTTTTGGAGGTCAGTTGGATAGGTGGAGGCTTTTCGACACCGGAGACGAAATATGCTTTTAAACTACTTTGTCGAGTTAGTGGAATTTCTGATTGGATTTGTGCTGAAGCTGTTAAAGGAATTTTGCTGACGTAAGGTTGAAGGAGACGTTAAGTCTTTCCCGTACAACTCATCCTGTTAGTTTTACTATTTAGGTGAAAAAGATGTGAGAAAGTCCTGCTGTTGATTGGTCTTAGGAAGTTTGTCTAGAAGTAACAGATGAAGATTTTCAACATTTGACAGTGTCGGTAGGAAACTGGTTGTTTTCTGTAGGAATAACGTGACATCCATAAATTGAAAGACGTGGGTATGTAGATTTTTAGGGTGGTGTTCTTAGGACTTTGCTAACCGACTATCGAGCTGTCTTTCTTGATGAAGTGACTTTATCAACGAAGTTTACACAACTGAATCCAAAGTTAAGTGGGTCGGATGATTTGCTTGTCGCAAAGATAACTGAGCTGCTGAAGTCTAGCTCGTCAAAGCATGATGTGAGAAAGAATCTTTCAGAAGGAAAGTTAGTGATTGATGTGGAAGATAAAATAGGAACGCTGATGGTCAAGTGGCATTTTGATGGAAAAGAATTAAATGATGGCGGTAACACGGTATGCCTCTTATTTATTTTGCTTTTCGATGACTTTCAAACATATGACACCGCTGTATAAGATTAGTTAAATAAAGAAGCGAGACGTACAGTAGAGGTGGCTCACTGAAAAAGTTACTTCGCTGTAGCGTCCGGTTTATTTGAAAGTGGAGTGGGGAAGGTTGACTGAACAGATTTTTTTTTCACTAAGTATCAGCACCTCGTTTAATTTGACATTTTTTTTTTCAGAGGTTTAAAAATGTTCGAAAGATCTTTTATGGCTTATCTTCTTAAAGAAATCTGATCAGGTTTCAATATTTAGATGTTGGAGCAAGTTGTTTTTCCTCTGAGAGATATCGTTTCCTTTGCTGCATCACATCGCCGTTTACGGTTTACGAAAGGTTACTTTTGAGTAATAATTGCCTTATCAGATACTTTTTTTTTCTTTTCCTCTCTGTCGCTTTTCGAAGTTAAAGATGGGGTTTTTTGCTACGCAGTTTTTTTTAGTGAGAGTCTCAGTAAGTTTTCTTAGAGTTGACAAAGATTGAGACTTTGCGAGATCCTTTCGAAACGCCAGAAGTTCAAGAACTCTACAGACTTATTACTAAAAATTCGAATTACCGCCTTTCTACAAAGGAAATCGGAGTAAATGAGAAATATGAAGAAAATGAAACAAGGAGAGAAGATAAAGATAGTGAGTCCTCTTCTGTTGGCTCAACACCTCCACCGTCTGCACCTGAAACACTCATGAATACTTCGTCGCCAAACCAAGAATCGTTGGAGAGTGGAGGTAATGCACATAAGCAGGGAGCAGGGAAACGTCCTGCTACTACTGAAGATGAAGATGGGGTCAGAAATAAGAAGAAAAGAGCAAAAGTATAAGTTATAGAAGTTTTTGTTTTTGTATATGACCTATTTTGTGATATTTTTATGTCTAAGGAATTCTAAAAATCAGTTTTGGTCTCAAAGACATTATTTGTCGTCGAGGCGATAACTGAGGTTTAATTCATTGGTTTTTATATTTACTTTTATGCATCTTATTTTCTAAGTTTTCTTTTAGACGTCTGTTGCTGTCAGTAATGAAAGTAAGGAGGAACTTTCCTCTTTTACTCCATCACCAAGAAAACTTCAGCAAGAAATAAACTCTCCTGAGAAACCTGCTAACCAGCTTCAAGACAACGAAGGGGGATCAAATTCCTCAACTCCAAAAAAAATATCTCCGCGAAAGCCAAAATTGAAATTTTAAGAAAACCATTTGGAAAGTTTCTAAGAGAGGACCGAGGCGATAAATTTTTAACTCATCTAAAAGTGAGTTATGTCGTTTTCGTCTAATGTTAGGAAGATTATCTTTCTTGGAGCTTGTGGATTTTGAAATTACCTGAAACTTGAATGCGTCATTAACCAAGGAAATGTATACATAAAATTGATTAATCACGAACAACTGATTGTAAAAATTTGAGACATGAAAACCAATGTTTGTAGTCTGTGCTGTTTAATAGTTTCATCAGGAAATTACCTCTCCAAGACTTTTCAAAACAACTTATTCGGCATTGAACTACGACGCTAATTAGTTAATTGGAGGGCTGGTAAGGTCTAAGAAAGGCCGTTTGGAAAAATTGAATACACTTGGGAGAAAACTATAGTCTTGGAGGAGTTTTATAATTAAAATGTTTAGTTCGCTGCTGTGCCAATTGTTTGTTGTTTTATCTTATTTTGCTCATCTGTCACAATACCTGATTACTTCTTTGTTGTTAATTTTTTTCCACAACTTGGAGCAAGAACTTTGAGTTGATTGTTGCTAAATGTGTAGTAGCAACTGGTATTTAACTCATTAACATTTAGTCTACTTTCATTTTTTTTGCAGGACATATTCGATGGATGATATATCAATAGTTAACACATTTAAAGCTTTATGGAATTCGTTTTTGTCGGTTAAGTTTTGACTAAGGTTTAGATGTATCCCTAAAATTTTAATGTTGTTGATTGTTATTTTGTAAAGACGTTAAGATAAGTGATCTCATAGTAAAGTTTTTGTTTTTTTTACTGGAAAATGGTAATCAAGGGGTTTTGCTAATTGAGGCTGTTCTTGAGGCTGTAGTCACGTGTAAAAAAGAGTTTAGGCCAAAGTTGGCAGAAGTGAGTACTCACAACTATTGATCAAGGGTATATTGGTGATGTAGCTTGTTTCATACTGTTTCAGGTTGGTTTAGTGCAATAATCTTCCCGCTTAAGTCAAGTTTACAGATGGTTTGAAAGCGAGTGAGTTTGCAGTGAGGCTATTTAGTTGTTGCAGGTTAAGTGACATGACCAGACTGGATTTGAGACAGAAATTTCGCACCTTTAATTTTGAAACTTCCCTTACTCTTCCCCTTAATCTTCTAGTTAATTGACCTTGATGTTCTGGAAGCTGCATGAATTTATAAAAAATACAGGAATACTGTCTCTCTTCAAAAGAGAGTTGCGTTTTTGCTTTTCCAAATTTTTTTTCATTATTTCTTTAGTTCACTCTTATAGGGTGTTAAACTCATTAAAGTCTTTATGCAAACTGTTGGAAAGTTAGCGATGACAAAAGATTTACAGAAAATGGAGGCAGAAAAAAAGATAGGACCAAAGTAAGCAAATAGTTAACATTTGGATCAAAAATGAAAAGTTGTTCTTCTGTATGTTTTATTGTTGTACGCAAAAATATTTTTGTGAAGGCATCAGAAGTATCTAATGGAAATTTCACTTCTTCAAACGGTCAGTTAACGACAGATATTTGTGCTCCAAAACTTTTAGTCTGTCGCCGGAAACCAGCGAACTGTTGTTGGTGGTTGCCTGTCAAACAACTGGAGACACCAAGCAGCCGATTTTCCATCTTGGTATTTGAAGCCAGTATTGTATTTACTGAAAACAACTTTTATCCGTT